TCATTATCAGTCCTGTTGGTATTCCTGCTGTGTTCCAAACTGAATTCACAATCAGCCCCCTTGATTGTCAATGTATTACATGGGTTGCTCGAAAGAAGCAGGCAATTTTATTCCACTGTAGCTGATGAGTGCAATCGCTTTCTTCTGCTGAGCTGATAATAAATATATAACAAGACTACTATCTGGAACAACGCTTTTGAAAATCCTGCATTTTTTATCCAGTTCATTCCAGTGTTGTCTAAGGATCTTGGGTCCCTCAAAACAGTTCACTTGTGAATAGAACAAAAAAGAAATAAGTAGGACATTTATCATAATTAGGTAATATCAGTATAGTTCAATTGGACCCAAGGTACATGCATTCTTGTGGTTATGTGTTATTTGAGTTACCACTGTGAAGCTAAACAACAATTCCTTTCTGTAACCGGCAAATATTTGTATAAGACTTCTTTGTGTGGGCAAATGCATTTTGTGTTGTAATAATGTGTATTTATTCCAATATGTAACCATCTGAAATGTTACTGTTGTAGACAATTCCAAGGGTCTGCATATACAAAAACACAATGGCCTAAAGACGTACAGTATCCAGGAGGATTTATAGTTCTCAGGTTATAACCACAAAAACACAACCACTAGCCCTACCCACTCCTTTTAAATGACCAAACAAATGTTTTACTGCATATTGTGTGAACGTGAAATTCTAAGTTCTTTATCAGTTTTCTAATAATTAAGTTAACTCGATTATTCTTGCTTATTTACATTCTAAAGTAGGCTGTCAGAAGATCACATGGAGAGAAATGTTGCCACCTACACGTTTTCCAATATATACAGTATATTTTTTCTTTGTGGCACCAGGACTCTGCCATACCTTATGCCTCTAGCTCATTAAAAAATGAAACCGACTAATTCTTAGATGAATTTTGATATAATTCAAGACTGGGCAAAACAAACTAGAAATACAAAGTGGGCAACACTGCGCTAGAAGAAGCTATTTCCGTGCTAGTAAGGCTTCAAGTAAAATATAATGTAGCATTTTGATTACCACATTTAAAACCTAATGCTGATCTGGAATCAGTCCAGAGAAGATCAACAAAATACATTTGAGGGGGAAAGATCCTACGCTGACAGGCTGAAGGAATTGAATGTTTTTAGTCTTGAATAGAGAAGGCTACAAGAGATCCTGATGCAAGTGTTCAGAATCCTCAAAGGCAGTGATAGTGTCAACCTAGTGGACATCAGAATGAACCATGAAACTCTATCCAGAGGACACAAGTGGAAACTAAATAGTAGTGTATTGAAAACTTAAGAGCAGGAGGCACTTCTTTACACCAAAGACTGTAGGAGTGTGGAACAAGTTACCCAGTCATGTTGCGGAAGCTGGTGCCCTGGCATCCTTCAAGAAACAGCTAAATTCTGTCAATCAGCTGCTAACTACCAATTGGACAAGATGGATCAAATTACCTCCTCTCACTTGTGACTGGATGATCCTGACAATTGAAAGTTAGTTTCTTTTAAAGCCATCTGGAGTCCAGTCTTCAAAACTGGGGTGTTGATTTTGTGATCATGGCTCAGTTTTCTCCTCCTTCCAGATTTATGGAATTAAATTAGGCTCCTCATCACATCATCCCAGGCAACATTCAGGGGATGTGTTTTATCTACTGACCCTTAGGGGGCAGTGTCGCTCACCTCTTCCAGATTGTTGTAGCACTCATTTCAAGTTCACCTTTATGACATCATTTGTCTTCTTGCTTTTGATAAACCAGCCTTGTTTGTGGAATGGAAGGTTAAATGGTTAGCTAAATTAACTGTATGGTTTGTACAGCACATATTGATTTGTTTAGGTGACTTATTAAGTAATCTATGCCTGAACATATACTAGGTGTGCCATCAGCACCTGATCCATTAAACAGATTTGGATTTCAGGATGCTGCTGAAGTGAATTTAGAGCTGAATGTTTGTTTTTAGAGGTGTTACATGATGATGTTATTCCACTAAAAATTAGTATATTGATGTAACTTTGCAGAATTTTGCAGGGAGGACAGGCATTCCCTAAAGACAACAAGACTATTGGAAAAGAATCGTGAATATTAATATTTTTTTAAGTATTCTAAACACTTTTAGCTCAATCAAACCCTAAAACAATCATTTTAATCACTGTTGTTTCTATCTCTAATTATTTCAATTTTCCTAGTAGATGATAAGATGGCAAGGGATTCTAAAAAGCAACATTGACATTCCCTGCACTTAATTTGCTAACAGTGTAACTTAGGCAGTAATGGACAATGGTACATGGGGTCTCATTTGTGGCCAAATAATTGTGTGTGTAATGAGCTCTGCAATAAGAGAGTAATTTAAGTAAATAAGATGTGTAAATGATATTCACTCTACATTGGAGAACCCATTAAAAAAGTTGCTCCAATGAATTCAAATGCCATAATTTATCCCACTTAATCAGCATGGCAAATAAAACGAGAGACACGCTTCCAGCCATCTTAATTGCTGAATATTAATATCAATAAAGATATGAAGTAGGAAAATGGCTTAGGACTTGAAAGTCCATTAGTACATTCGGAGTGATTGATGAGGATTCCAGTTGAATAATAATATATTTAGTGAAAGGATGACTGATCATACTGTTGAGTGCATCTGCCCCACCTTAAAAGAAAATCTTATCTGTGGTTCACCAAGTCACCAAATGCCATTGCGAAGGCAGTTAGAGAAGCCTGTGTCAATATAAAAAGTTTATCCATAAAGTTTATATTATACAGAACTTTAGTGTAATTACAGAAATTAACACTCAAGTTCCATAGGCTAGTGTTATACCCCAAGCATACACAGACAGAGAATGGGGGTATAATAATAATTATTATTATTATCCCTTACACTTAAATAGTGCTTTTCTGGACACTCCACTCAAAGCACATGTAATGGGGACTCCCCTCCACAAATGTGCAGCCCCACCTGGATGATGCGATGTCAGCCATAGTGTGTACTGTACGCTCACCACACATCAGCTAGGAGTAGAGCAGAGTGAAGAAACCAATTCATAATAGGGATTATTAGGAGGCCAGAGTGATTGATGAAAGCCAATGGGAAATTTGGCCAGGATGCCAGGGTTACACCCCTGCTCTTTTTGAGGAACCCTGGGATTTTTAATGACCACAGAGAGTCGGGACCTTGGTTTTACATATCATCCGAAGGACAGCATCCGTTTACAGTATAGTGAGCACCCCCTGCTGGCCCCAATACCACACTAGCTTTCCCAGGAGGTCTCTCATCTAGGTACTGACCAGGCTCACACTTGCTTAGCTTTAGTGGGGTGTCAGTTATGCATTGCAGAGTGATATGGCTGCTATCTTGCATTGCAATCAAGTTCACTGTATGCTTATTTGTAAACAATTTTAAAGAGAATGTGAAAAAAATATCTATATATTTTAATTAAAGTTCCTGGAAATAGTTGTCATGTATGAAATGATACATGTAATAACATTTATCTTCCCATCCATCCATGTTCTAACTACTTTATTCAGAAAAGGGTAATGACAGAGCTAGAGCCTAGTCACAGGCAGGGCACACTGCAGACAGGATGCCAGTCCACCGTAGGGGACACAGAGACACAAACACAGACATGCACACCGCACCAATTTTCCCAGAAGGCAATTATCCTACCAATATGTCTTCAGAGTGTGGGAGAAAACAGAAGCACCCGAAGGAAACCCACATGCACCCTGGGACAACACACCAACTCCACACAGGCAGCACCCTTGAAATTGAACACAGGGCCCCAGTTCTGCAAAGCAGCATTGCTGACCACGGCACCACCATGCCATCCTTAATCCTCTCATTAAGAAGGTAATTCTCTTATCTGAGCCACAGCAGCTCATCAGGCCAGGGATTATCCTTATTTTTTTCCTGGTGTAAGGAGGAGTAGAGAGCACACACCCCCCCCGGACAGGATGCCTTCCATTACAGGAATTTAGCCCCCAACAATGTTGGTTCTCAGTTACAGAAAAGGGTGGACTGTAGCAATTGGGGTAAAGAACCTCAATCCAGGTTCAACAGTACTGTCTGCAGCAGGGACTTGAACCCACAATGCACAAGACCAGATACTTACCCACTGTACTACACTTCTCATTACTTTACTTCAATGAGTAAAATAATATTTTTGCCCTGCTTCTAGAGCAAGCAGATGTTTTTCACAGTGGTTATTTGTAATCTCAGGGGATAAGGCGGTCAATATGCTTTCCTGTAATCTTTTCTAGCTATCCTGTAATCGTAGTCATTAAACAGGCTCTAGGGTGTGTGTAAAAATAGACCACCTGCCCCCTGGTGTTTTCATTTTGCCTTTCTTTCTGTAAAATACTTTAAAGTGCCCCCTACAACACTTTAAAGAGTGCAACATGTACTATAGGACAAAATCCAAACAAAAGTAGAAAACTATTCGAAAAATAGTAACACCACATGGTCTTTTCATAAGCAATTAGTCTGGAATATCATGTGAATAATTTTAGTATTGATGTTGTTATTGTAAATTTTTCTTCCCAAGCTGATAATATTACTACAGCAAGAAAAATGAAATGTCTGGAGCTTTATTATTAAATAACTCCCTGGCATAAATTCAAGTTCTGGAATGATGAAGAGCTAATTGCATCATGAAAGATGATGCAAAGAACAAATATGTAAGGCAGATAGTAGATGGAATGTTGCTCAGACAGTTGTTGCTGTACTTATTCCAAAACAGAAGACAAACAGAAGAGCAGTGAATGAGAGAGAAGGCTCCTTGAGATACTAATTATGATCAGGGACAGAAATTCACAAAGTTACAGCAAGATACAGCCTTGTGTCAGGGTAGTGACATCATCGGGGTGACATCATCCACTGTAAGCACAGATGGGAATAGAATATTAAAGCACCAAGGGCCTGTGACGTCACCACCATTTCCATAACACAACAATGAGGAATCACAATAACAATGATGATGCCATAAAGATGTGATCCCCAGTGCAATGTATCCCTAGTAGCATTAGACAGTTTCCATTTCTGAGAGCAGCAGCTTGGCTGGTCTGTACTTCACAATGAGGAAGAGTCTGAAGGTTTGTGGTTGTTGTACTGGGAACAAGGACAGAGAGCCAGAAGAACTGAAACAAAGGAAAGGAGAAATCACATGGACAAAGAGACAGAACGCAACTTGGAGGAGAACTGAAATGGGCCAGAAAAAGGAAGAGGAGGGATTAACTAAAAAGCAAGGTGACATTAGTGACTCAAAATCAAAATTTTGCTGCCCATCTGTGGCAGACTGTCTCTGTCTGTGCTGGCCTGTCCAGATGTCCAAGTGCAGTGAAGAGATCCTGACATCTGAGGCCCAGTGCCCGGATAAAGAAACTGTAACCTGCAAGGAACCAGGTCCCTCTGGAGCCCCGTGCCAAGACCTTCGCTGGAAAGAAAATTCCTGTACCTGTCTTGTACAAGAGGATATGAGCCAGAGGACTGGTTCACCAGCTGACCCCAGTGGAGCTCCCCTCCCCTGCTGTCATGGGACAGTAAGGGGAGGCTATTTCCCACAGTCAGGGCAGGAGGAGTCATGGTCAATCCTTGACTTCTATGAACCAGATGAAACCCTCTATGTGGAATTGTGGGACCCTGGGCTAGAGGGAGGAGACCAGCAGTATGAGGCCAGATGGAAGCTCAGTAGCAGGGGAAAGGTTGTGGCAAAGGGCATCTGGAACCCAGTACCACATGTCAGAGAAGAAACCCAACCAGGTAGGTGTCTGAGATGCCATTAATGGCGAATTGCTGATTGAGTTTCATGATAAGGTTCATGGTTCGTGGTTCTTTAGAAGAGAAGTGTATTGTATCAGGTTTCATGCTGCTGTCTTCAGCAGAAAAGAAAGTTAAATACTGAACATCAGAACTTTACAGATACACTTATTTTGCACAGTTTGACATGCAAACTGGACATACAGTATATCATATTTTTAATTGGATTATTCATACATTCACTTACTTGACAGTTCAATGTGAACAGTTTTCACTTTTAATTGTTGTGTAAATAAAGCATTTAGAGAATTATGACTTAAATCATCATAGTTTTTGTGTCTTTCACTTCTTTCTATTGTAATTTCCTGGAAACCAATCAATAATGTTCTAATTCTTTCAAGAGAACAAAATTACACAATCAAATGATGTCATAGCTGGTTGTATTATGTCATACTGGGAAACATGCATCAAATATTGAACAGGTACAAACATAATATACAGTATATCACAGAATATCAAACAGAAACAGCAAGTTGCGGAAAGATACTTAGACAAAATACATGATTATGAATACATAGCGTAATCCCACAAATACTATGGATGTTTTGTAAATGAAAGTAGTGAGCATCAGCATCAGGCTCTGTCAGCATCAGCATCAGAATCATGTGTAGTTGGGGCCTGAGGAACATCAGACAGACTACCATCAATTTCCTGGCCAGGGCAATCCTCAGATCTCATTACTTTCAATACAACCTGAACTGAAGGCCGGTATGTCAGAAAGATGAGATGACATTAGACTGATAAATATTTCAAATAGTTGATGCCCAACATGTAATTAGGCGAGTGTCCATAATATTTTGACAGTGGTGATCATGACATATGGTTTGACATCAGTTCCATAAATTCTCATACAAATCCCATGGAGAAATGATTGCTCACTGTGGATATTTGTTCTGTTCTCTTACAGCTGTTTCCTGAATTTGAGCTAAGTGTGCCCACACTTCTCTGGATAACCCCGTATTACAGTGAAAATAAAAAACATTGTATCTGCTCAATACAGATGGCTTCAGCTGGCAACTGGAGTTGTTTTTCACTGTTGCTGGTATTTTACTTAAATGTAAGTTTCTTATGAAATGGAAGGCGTGATTTTTTGTTCTTTTGTTTCTATTCCATTGTATAATCAGATGCACGAAATTAAACAATGAACTGGCTTAAGCAAACACATCAAACCAAAGCCTTTTATCAAGTAAACACATACTGGGGATATTCCTAAACTCTGGCATTACACTGTACAGTAAGTGGAATGTGTTTAATTCACAGCTCCTTTGATGGACATGTCATTATGTTAGCTCTGAAGGCAGACGTACTTCACTTCTTCCCAAAAGAAAAAATCCAGGACAGAGCATTTGCAGTTTATAAATGTGTCTGGAGAGATCAGATATTACATTGACCTTGAGTCAATAGACACCAAACAGTGTGCACCTGGTCTCTGATTCTGAACACAAGAGACCATATAAAGACTCAGTTCAGATTATTTCATTATTTCATTATTTTGAACAGCTGGGACACAAACTGGCAAGTAAAGGCACCAGAGACAGCTGTGCTTCTGCTGCAAGTGTAGCAGACTCTCTAACTCTGATTGCTTGTAATAATAATAATAATAATAATAATAATAATAATAATAATAATAATAATAATTGCTTACACTATATATAGCACTTTTCTGGACACTCCACTCAAAGCGCTTTACAGGTACAGGTAATGGGGACTCCCCTCCACCACCACTAATGTGCAGCATCCACCTGGATGATTTGTAGCGTGCTCCCTGTTTGTTTAAATCTGAATAAAGGTGTTGTGGTTTTTGAGTTACAAGAAACAGAATGTATAAAATAAGCTATTATAGTTATTATACCTAGCAAGTATTGTAAGCTGCCTATGGAATTTCAATTAGGGATCCGTTTGAAAGGGATGGGATTGCTCACTATTTCAGGGGTAGTGTGTGGGACACCTGAGTGTTTAGTTCACAGTTCCACAGACCCCTTCCCCAGTAGGTGAACATGTGAGCTGGGCATGAGCAGATCTGCAGTCTTGCTGCAAATCTATTGTATGTAGTGAAACACACTTGGCCCAGTGCTGACCAGTACAATACTGAGTATTTCTTCAAACCCTGTATAGGAGGACAACTGTGTCTTTTGGTTTTCCTTCCAACTGATCTCCTTAGCTGCCTAATCAGCTCTTAATCAACTCTTAATTATTGGCTTAACTAAATATGTTAAATGCTGTTTATGGTTACTGAACAGTATTTTGTTTGACACCACTTTTAAAATGCACATGTTACTTCTACTTCAGTTCTAATTAAACAAACAATTTGTTTAATTAAGATTTCAATTAAGTCACCATGCACTCATTTGAATCAATAGCTCGTAGACAATGTTACTCTCTGATCAAAGCTGAAAACCCTTTCATACATAATCCTATTATCTCCACCACATAGTTGATATCTCATTATGTTCCTTGCTACGATTTTCTTTTTTTGTTGGTGCTGCGTTTTGTGTTTGCATGCACTCCTTCTGAGTGTTGGGAGAAGTGTCTGTCTTCCTACAGCGCTCAGTGTGAGACTAACACAAATACTGCTGCTTCTACTATTTCGGCACTACAGCCACACTGCCTGGCGGAAACAGGACCGCTCACCCCTTCATATTTCAGCAGGACAGAACAATTACTCAATGCACTGGGGGGAATCTGATGAAAACCACAGAAACAAAAAGCTCAGCACAAAATGCAACATAGGAAATAATAGGAGACACACAGTGGGTTGTTGTTAAGTTGAGCTTGCAATGGAAATGTGAACAGTGCTCGTCCTTTGACGCCACAATTGCTGTTGAGTAAGCTACTTCAGTCTCTCTATTTTGGAAACTGCTGTTGCCTTGATTTCTGGTAAACCTTTACCTTTAGCTTTTTTGTCTGTTTTCCAGTACACAATTACCACATGTAGCTTCATACTAGCTAATTACTCTACACTAAGTCAGTGCTACTCCAGTTTAGAATTGGCTTTCACCAAGAAGTCATTATGAAATTGTTTATCACAATGGATTCAACAAGGACTGGACAGTGGACAGGACTGGGTTCATTTAGGTTTTATTATTTTCCAATTCAAAACAGATAAATTTAACTTAAATTAAAAGACCTGATTAAAACAGGACATTTTTTGCACCCTAAAAATTAGTTTTTGAAAGTAAGAAAAGATCAGAGTATAAACCTGAGGACCTTTCAGGTCCTTAAGGGCTGGAGTTTTCATTCCTAGGGCTAGAGAGGAGGTCTGTTCATGGAGACCTGCCTGCTGAGTACATACTTCCCATTGTCTGCAAGTGTATAGTATCATTCTGATCCAATCCAGCTTGCTGTGAGGGTGCACAGAGCTGTAGACTGAGACAATACACAGAATCTTGTGCCCAGTCTGCACTGTTCAGTCCTGTGAGGTGTTATATCAAAAATGGATTTTGTAGAGAAAAATGCCTTATCTTCTGTTTCCTACTGACTGCTGTTTCCCACTCTGTTTGACCTTTGCAGAGAACAAATGAAATGGCACCATGCTCTTTAATTATACAGATTTTGAGAGCACTGTGTTGTTATTTCCAGTATTTCCGATATGAAGGGCACCACATGTTGAAACAATCTTTGATGGTAGTGGACTCCCACGTCATTCGGCTGCCCCAGAACAGGCAAATGTGAGACATCAATCTGATCACGGGAAACTTGAAAATAATAGGCTACAGATAGGTTGTGCTTGACTGTGAATGTTTAAATAAACAGGATCTGGGAGTTTTCCAAGAAAGAATACTTATTGGACACACATCGAAGCTTTGCGTTTATTAATTAGAGTTTTTTCCTTCCAGTTTCTCACAGCAATTTGTCAGCTGGAAGCCCCGTGCTGGGGTTGTGGATTGTGCGTGCCTTTCTGCTCTTTATGAGCTGCCAAGCAGTTGAATTGTATCTCTGCTATGAGGGACTGGACTTTTTACACTTTAAGTTGAAATCTGTCTGGCAGTACTGCTAAGCTTGCTTAAAAATCACAGCACTGGCAGGCAGGGAGTACAGGAATCTCAGCAGGAATATGTGAAAAGGCCACAGTGCAGTTCCCCTGTGTGCACAAGGATTCAAGTCATTCTAGAAGGAGAGAGATTTTAATAAATATCTCATGTCTGCTTATAAAGGAGATCTTAAAGGTCAAATGGTTTTCTGTAAACTACAATCAGAATACTATTATTAAATTGAAACAGTGTATATTTTTCCCATTAGGCTTTTCCCAAAAGATAACCAGAAATATTTTGGGTCTCCTTTATGGTCCACAGGTTCTGCTAGTTGTTAGCTTCAGCTGACAATCAACAATAGAGCCTTTTAGTGGTCTGAGTTTTTTTAGCTGGTCCAGTTGCGTCAAGTGGTGTAGCGTAGCCTGATGCTGTCTGTGGAGCAATGCCTTGTGGCTCTGAGCCCATAAATGACCACGATCAAAGCTAATGAGCGGCAGCGCTCCACCTGATACAGTTATGGAATCTTAATCCATTTGTGAGAGATGACCCCGACTGTAACTTTAGTCATTGTAACATGGCTGTTTTAGTCAAAGTGCTCAATTAGTCTGCTTATTCACTGCTGTGACCAAAACCTTGAGTTTTATATACCCTGGCTCATGTGATGGTGAACAGAAAAAAAATCTCAGTCTCACGGGAACACTTGTCCATTTTAATGTTAGTTAAACAGAATCTTGTTTCGGTTTCCAAAGTCCCATTTATTCATGTCATTTAAAAGTAGGAACCTGTGCTTCTTTAAAGAAAAGTCTCAAACACTTATTATTAATGCATAGTTTAGAATAATGAGCATTGAATATTATTACTGAAATGATATGCTTACTGCAAGAAGACATTTTTATAATTACAAATCAGGCATTTTAAAATGATTAGAATATATATTCATAATTAGATTCTCATGATTATTCTTATTATCATCAGGAGCATTATGTATTTAAAGGCTGTGAATGACACTTAAAAAATGCTTACAACCCATATGTGTATTTTCTGGAAGGAGTGATTTCTGAAAACACTGCCTCTTAAAAAGCTGTTTTTACAAATGAAGTTTACACTTAATTGGATTTTTAAAAAACAGGTAGCACTTCTGGAAATACACAGCTTAGTTCCATACTTGTCATGGAAACAGAAAACAAAATAAAGTTATGAAGCATAAAATAATATGCTTCTGCATGGCAAATTTGTTTCTAGTTGATGCTATCCTCCCTTCCCTCCCACTGGTAATAACTCAGAAAAACAGCATCTCCTCTTTATCTTCCTCCGCTTGAGACTGAACTTGAGATGTTTTCTCAGCATTCGCTTGTGTTACCTGAGGCTTAGCACTGCCTCAGCAGCTGTTCCCTTTTATGAATCCTTTTGATGTCTCAGCATGAAAGGGTCAATCGATATCCAATTTGTACAGTATTGAATTGTGCTCATGGCGCCTGGAAGACTAGCCTGCTATTTCCCACTTTTGTGGGTCCAAAGCCTGTTGAAAATAACACCTTCACAGATCAAGCTTGGGCTTCATGCAAAATAGACACCGGGTTTGAGCAGAAATCGAAACAGCTAAAACAGTCTCATTTTCTGCTCTTTTGGGAGTGATCTTAGAACAAGTGGTCTTTACTGCTGTTTTAAATGGAGGATAACTTCACTGAAAGATGAATTAGCCAAGGGCCACTCCAAATATTTACCTCAAAAAACAGTTTCAAAACATAAATAATAAAAACACTGCACTTATTCTTGTTTTTTCATTATTTCACTTCACTGAATAATTAGCTTCTGGGTGGATAGCTTTCATTCTACCTCCAATGTTCAACTCAATAAGCCAAGAAACCTGGCAGGTTAAACTTAATCTTAACTAACTGTAACTTTATTACAAGTAGAGTTTGCCCTGATTTCTCACAATTTCATAGTTTTTTAGGCAGGAGCACAGATCCTTGATTAGTGAGGGGAACTAAAATCTTTGAATTGTGGGAAAAATTGACATTTCCCAAAAGTCTCCCTGTAAGCTGCACACACCCCTGACCTTGTGTCCTTCTTAAAGATGTTTCATGCCTCCTTGCTCTTTAGAAACACTTCATTTGCCTGACTTTGTGACATTACAAAGCAAACCTCAAGCAAGACCTGTAGATTCCTTCATTTCCAAATCCGTATTA